CAGAGGAGAGGACGAGGAGGAGAGGGACAGGAGAGGCGAAGGGAGGGGCGCTCTGGCGGGGGAGAGCCACCTCCTCCCAGTTCTCCCAGGGGGCCGTCCGCCGACGGCGCTGCCACCGCGGCCTGCTCCTGCTGCTCTCCCTCCTTTTGGCGTTCGGTTTCGCTTCCTCCTCTGGCTCCTCCTCCTCCTCCTCCTCTCCCACCTCCTCCGCACCTCCTCCCCTCCCGCCTCCTTCCTCCCACATCATCATCATCATCGTCATCACCTCCTTCTCCTCTTCCTCCCCCTCTCTCCTCCTCCTCCACTCCTCCGCATCATCATCATCATTCATCATTCATCATCACATCATCATCATATCATCATCATAATCATCATCAGCAGCAGGCGCATCATCATCACAGTGCCAGCAGCAGCATCAGCATCAGCATAAGCATCAGCATCAGCATCAGCATCAGCATCATCATCAGCAGCAGCAGCATCAGCATCAGCATCAGCATCATCATCACCATCATTATCAGCATCAGCACCATCATCATCATAATCAATACTCCTCCTCATTATCATCCACAGCATCCACATCATCATCATCATCATCATCATCAGCAGCATCAACAACATCATCATCATCATCATCATCATCATCATCAGTATCACCATCATCATCCTCATCATCATCATCATCAATATCATCACCACCATCATCATCATCAGCAGCAGCATCATCATCATCATCATCATCATCAACAACATCATCAGAATCATCATCAGCAACAGCAGCATCATCAGCATCAGCAGCATCATCATCAACAGCATCATCATCAACAACAGCATAAGCATCACCATCACCATCATGATCATCATCAGCATCATCATCATCAGCATCACCATCATCTGATCATCATTATCACCAACAACAACAAAACGAACAACGACACCAATAACAAGATAATCATCAGTATCCTCATCATCCTCATCATCATCAGCAGCAGCAGCATCAGCAGCATCATCATCAGCAGCATCATCATAGTCGTCATCGTCGTCGTCATTCTACTTCGCTTCCTCCTCCAGCTCCTCCTCCTCCGCCTCCGCGTACATTCGCCTTCTCCTACTCAAACTACTGCTACCTCTACTCCAAATTCTGACGGGCAACGGGCTGGCCACGAGGCCGCTGCATCCCTGTCGACACTTGGGTCACTTCGAGGGGGAAGAGCAGCAGGGGCAGGATGAGAAGCAGGAGGAGCAGGAGTAGTGGGAGGAGAAAGAAGAGTAGCCACTGCAGGAGCAAAGAGAGCATGTAGAACATGAAGAGGGAGAGGATAAAAAAGATGATCAGCAGCGGGGCGAAGAAGACGAGGAGTAAGACGATGACGGCGAGGGCGAGGGCGAGAAAGAGGACAGGGTGGGGAGGAGGGACGAGGATGGGGGAGGATAACGAGGAAGAGAAGGAGGACCAGTGTAAACCAAAGACGCATCAACGATGATGCAATACACCCTCCCTCCAAGTTCCCTTATCATAAGTCCCTGAAGACATGTATATTGATTGCGCGAAGTGGCCCATTAGCAAAGAATTGTTCGAGAATCCTAAACTGTGTCAATACACGGTTCCTGGGACTTCAGCGCCGCGGATCAACGTGACTGTTGCGTCAAGACAACATGGTGCCAGATCGCCGATCCTCGGACTTCAATACCGCGAATCTACGTAACTTTTGCGTCCTGACAACCCTAAGCCGTGCCAGAACACCAGTCTCTGGGACTTCGCTCACACGAACCCATGAAAGTGCTGCAAACTTGTAAAGATGAATATGCGCGGCGCTGAGGCGAGAGCCACATTTTGAAGGGAACCGCCCACCATCCTGAAAACTGCTGCAAACTTGTGGTTACGAATGTGCGCGGCGCCAAGGCGGCAGCCACATTTTGAAAAGGAACCGCCCTCCATCCTTGCACCTGTTGCAAACTCGAAAGAACGAATGTGCGCGGCGCCAGGACGAGAACCGCAATCCGCCCTCCATCCTTGACACTGTTGCATGTTCGAAGCTTCAGGACCATAACTGGCGAGCAAGTCTCAGGCGAAACGCCCGGACACGCCTGGGGGTGCGACAGGGGGGAGGTCTTCATGTGAGCCGCGCAGGTTGTTCTCGACGCGCCCAAAGTGGACGACGCCGACGCCACGGCAAACCCACCGCAGGCCCTGCGGCCCGCGCCCAAGTAGTTAGACGACGCCGGCACCGCGGCAGCCCCACGGCGAGCCCGCCGCGTCCGAGGCGGCGCCTGCCCCGGTGGCCGCGGCGCCCTCCCCAAAAAGCGCAGGGCCGCAGGGCGGAACAAACGGCGCGGCGGCGCATGGCAGAGGGATGGGTGCGGAGAGGGAGGAGGCGGAGGCCTCTTGGGAGCTCCTCGGGGCACCCTGGGAGTCTCCTGGGAGCCTCGTGGGGGCCTCCTGGAGGCCTCTCGGGGGCTTCCCTGGTCGGTCCTCCTGGTGGCCTTTCGGAAGCTGCTTGGGACGCCAAAAAGGAGGCGGAGCGGGCTCCCTGGAGGCTCCTCTGGCGGCGGAGAAGGAGGAGGCGGAGCGGATGCAGGCCCGGCCCAGCGCGCTCCCGCCCACCACGGCCGTGTGCGCGCGCGCCCCCTGCGCTCGTGCACGGCCGTCCAGGACGTGCAGCAAGCCACCGCCGGCGCACTGGCCGGGATACGAGGAGGAGGAGGAGAAGGAGGAGGAGGAGGAGGAAAAGGAGAAGGAGGAGGAGGGGTAGGTGGGGGAGGAGGAAGAGCAGGAGGGAGAGAGGGAGTAGGAGGAGCACGAGGAGTAGGAGGAGTAGGAGGAGCAGGAGGAGGGGCGGCGGGCTGGCGACAGGGTCCCCTGGATCTGTATAGAGACTTGGGCCACGTCCCCGACGATCTTCTGCATGCTGACCAGTCGGGAGGCCAGGCGCAGCGTCACGGGGCGCGCGACGGGAAGGTCTGCGGCGGCGCCGCCCGCAGCGCTGCCTCCCTCATCTGCTGCTGCTGCTGCTGCTGCTGCTGCTGCTGCTGCTGCTGCTGCTGCTGCTGCTCCTTCTCCTCCTCGTCCTCCTCCTCCTCCTCCTCGTTCTCCTCCTCCTCCTCCTCCTCCTCCTCCTCCTCCTCCTCATCATCATCATCATCGTCATCCAGATTTATCATCAGCAACATGAGACAGCACCATCCTCTTCTTATTATGCTTATTCCTCCTCCTGCTCGTCCTCCTCCTGATAATAATAATAATAATAATAATGATCAGAATCATCATCATCATCATCATCATCAGCAGCAGCAGCAGCACCATCATCATCCTTCATGATGGTCTCATCATCATCATCATCAGCATCATCATCATCATCATCCACATCATCAGCATCATCAACAGCATCATCAGCATCATCATCAGCAGTATCATCATCATCAGCATCGTCATTCTCGTCACAACCATCATCATCAGCAGCATCATCATAATCATAATCATAATCAGAATCAGCATCATCGGCAATATCATCATTACTTGCATTATCATCAGCAGCAGCAGTATCACCAGCATCAGCATCAGCATCAGCAGCATCATCAGCATCATCATTATGATTACCATCATCATCACGATCAGCTTCGTCATGATCATGATCAGGATCATGACCATGATCATCATCATCCTCATCATCATCACCATCATCATCAGCATCATCATAGTCATAATCCGCATTGTCATCATTACACATCAACCATCACCGCAATCATCAGCATCATCAGCATCAGCATCATGATCATGACTACCATCATAATGATCAGCATCGTCATGATCATGATCTGGATCAGGATCATGATCATCATCATCATCATCATCATCATCACCATCATCATCAGCATCACCATCGTCATCATCAGCAGCAGCGTCATCGCCATCGTCATCATCGTCATCAGCATCATCATCATCACCACCACCACCATCATCATTATCAGCAGCAGCAGCATCGCCAGCACCATCATCCTTAATGAGCATGATCATCGGCACCACCATCATCATCTGCAGCAACATCAGCATCAGTATCACATCATCATCGTCTTGATCGGTATCATCGTAATCATCATCATCACCATCAGCATGAGCAGCAGCAACAAAGCAGCATCAGCATCAGAATAATGAGCATCGGCATCGCCATCAGCAGCATAATACGCATCATCCTCATCATCACGACCGTCATCAACAGCATCAACATCAGCATCATCATGCTCCCCATCAAGCTCATCATCTTCACCCTCATCATCAATATCATCATCATCCTCACCATCACCATCATCAGCAGCATCGTCATCACCATCCTAATCGCCATCATCAGCATCAACAGCATCATTATCATTATCAGTATCCTCCTCCCCCTCCTCTTCTACCCCGGTTCTTTATGAATAACTCCTCCCTGTCGCACCCCGAGGCCAATCGAAAAGGCTGGCCGGGCGCTTCGCCTGAGAATTCCTCACCATTTATGATCCTGAAGCTGAGAACCTTGCAACAGCCTCATATATGGAGGGCGGATCGCTTCCAAAATGTGGCTCTCGCCTTAGCGCCGCGCACATCAGATTTAAACATCTGCAAGAGCTTCACGGATTGAGGGCGGGTCGTTTTCAAGCCTTAGCGCCGCGTACACTCCTTGTACACATTTGCAAGAATTTCACGGGTTGACGGCGGGTGGTTTTAATTATCCTGGCGAAGGACCCAACCATATGCAGTTGTGAATGCCGCAATTGTGGATGCCATCTTCGCCTGCGCTCCCTATGTGGCCACGGCTTCCCGCCGGAGCCCGACATGCTCAGGGACACGTTCGTGGCCGTCTTCGCGGGCGCCGACGACGACAAGGACGGCGTCCCTCTCACCGAGGAGCAGAAGCAGGAGAAGGCCTTGAGAGCCATGAGGGAGGAGGTGGCGTTGCACGTCGACAAGGCGGAGTACGACGCCCATGCGCGGTTGTTGAAGCAGCGCAACTATGGGGCCACGATCCTCGTGAGGGATGTGCCGCTATGGCCCGGGGCCGCCATGCGAACCCTGCCACTGGCGCCTTCGGTGGAGCTCCAGTGGGGCCACGGTCCTCGTGAGCCGAAATGGCCCGAGGCCGCCATGCGAACCCTGCCACTGGGGCCTTCGGTGGAGCTCCCCATAGGGCCACGATCCTCGTGAGGGGTGTGCCGAAATGGCCCGAGGCCGCCATGCGAACCCTGCCACTGGCGCCTTCGGTGGAGCTCCCTATGGGGCCACGATCCTCGTGAGGGGTGTGCCGAAATGGCCCGAGGCCGCCATGCGAACCCTGCCACTGGAGCCTTCGGTGGAGCTCCCTATGGGGCCACGATCCTCGTGAGGGGTGTGCCGAAATGGCCCGAGGCCGCCATGCGAACCCTGCCACTGGGGGCCTTCGGTGGAGCTCCCTATGGGGCCACAATCCTCGAGAGGGGTGTGCCGAAATGGCCCGAGGCCGCCATGCGAACCCTGCCACTGGCGCCTTCAGTGGAGCTCCCTATGGGGCCACGATCCTCGTGAGGGGTGTGCCGAAATGGCCCGAGGCCGCCATGCGAACCCTGCCCCTGGGGCCTTCGGTGGAGCTCCCTATGGGGCCACGATCCTCGTGAGGGGTGTGCCGAAATGGCCCGAGGCCGCCATGCGAACCCTGCCACTGGCGCCTTCAGTGGAGCTCCCTATGGGGCCACGATCTGATGAGGGGTGTGCCGAAATGGCCCGAGGCCGCCATGCGAACCCTGCCACTGGAGCCTTCAGTGGAGCTCCCGATGGGGCCACGATCCTCGTGAGGGGTGTGCCGAAATGGCCCGAGGCCGCCATGCGAACCCTGCCACTGGCGCCTTCGGTGGAGCTCCCTATGGGGCCACGATCCTCGTGAGGGGTGTGCCGAAATGGCCCGAGGCCGCCATGCGAACCCTGCCACTGGCGCCTTCGGTGGAGCTCCCTATGGGGCCACGATCCTCGTGAGGGGTGTGCCGAAATGGCCCGAGGCCGCCATGCGAACCCTGCCACTGGAGCCTTCGGTGGAGCTCCCTATGGGGCCACGATCCTCGTGAGGGGTGTGCCGAAATGGCCCGAGGCCGCCATGCGAACCCTGCCATTGGGGGCCTTCGGTGGAGCTCCCTATGTGGCCACGATCCTCGTGAGGGGTGTGCCGAAATGGCCCGAGGCCGCCATGCGAACCCTGCCACTGGCGCCTTCGGCGGGGCTCCCTATGGGGCCACGATCCTCGTGAGGGGTGTGCCGAAATGGCCCGAGGCCGCCATGCGAACCCTGCCACTGCAGCCTTCGGTGGAGCTCCCTATGGGGCCACGATCCTCGTGAGGGGTGTGCCGAAATGGCCCGAGGCCGCCATGCGAACCCTGCCACTGGAGCCTTCGGTGGAGCTCCCTATGGGGCCACGATCTTCGTGAGGGGTGTGCCGAAATGGCCCGAGGCCGCCATGCGAACCCTGCCAGTGGGGCCTTCGGTGGAGCTCCCTATGGGGCCACGAAGCGGTGGGTGAAACGCAGGGATGAAGAGGAGGAAGGGGGCAGCGGGAGGAGTGGACGCGGGGCGCTGTCTCTTCAAAACGAGGACCCAACACCACAGGATGGTTGGGAAAAATGTGTCTCTCGTTTCAGCGCCACGCACACTCGTCTTAAAAATGTGCAAGAGTTTCGCGGATTCAGGGCGGCTCTTTTTCAAAATGTGGCTCTCGCCTTGGCGCCGCGCACATACGTGTTAGATAATGCAAGGGTTTCACGGATTCGCATGGTTAACGTACCAGTCATTGTGTTCTGGAGCGAGTCAGGAGCATCTAGGCGCATCAGTTACGTTGACTCGCGGTACTGAAGTCCCGAAAACGGCGTTCTGGCACGATTCAGGATCGTCACGCCGCAGCAGTCAGGTTGACCAGCGGCGTTGGAATCCAAACAATGGCGTTTTGGCACGAAGCGGGATCTTCACACTGTTGTCCCCCAACGGGGCACTTCCCCCAGTGGACATGCATCTTTGTAGGGGCCTACGAGGAGGGAGCTTTGAGGGAGGGTGCATTCCAACATTGTTGGTGAGTTTGGGGTTTACATTGGTCCTCCTCCTCCTCCTCCTATTCCTCCTCTTCCTCCTCCGCCTACCCTTCCTCCTCCCACATTCCCTCTTCGTTCTCCTCTCCTCGTTCCTCCTTGCTTCTCTTCGTTTTCCTTCATCAATTTGTTCATCCTCATCCTCATCGTCCTCGTCCTCCTCCCCAGCACCATCTTCTTCCTCCTCCTCCTCCTCCCCCTCCTCCTCCTCCTCCTCCTCCTCCTCCTCCTCCTCCTCCTCCTCCTCTTGCCTGCTGACCTGCCTACACACATCCCTCACTCACTCCCTCTGACTCCTCATCTCCACCTCATCCCTTTTAATCGTCGCAGTCGTCGTGTCCGCAGTCGTCGTTTTCAACGATGCAATCACCTTACAGCATAGAGGGCTCCCCAATAGGGTAAACGGAGGATCGGAGAATCGCAAGCCATTGCCGACGCATCGGCGATGCATCGGTGGCGTCGGAGCGGAGAAAATTGGATTCCAAATCAGGCCATATCGCCGACGCATCGGCGATGCGGCGCGATCCCCAGAGCCCATCTTCTCCAGCCGCCTTTGGGAGGCCTGGCGGCGGCGGCGGCCAGGGGCGTCTCCTGAGGCTTCGGGGTCGAAAGGCAGCGCACGCGTCACCGCGCTGTTCACCTGAGGCGACGGCGAATGCGAAGCGAGGAGGAGAGAAGAAGGGAGGAGGAGGAGCAGGAGGAGGAGGGGAGAGGAAGAGGAAGGAGAGAAAAGGAAGAGGTAGAGGAGGGAGGACGAGGAAGAGGAGGAATCGGAATCGGAACAATGACCTAGTCATACACACAAGCCTCGCCCCCTGACCACGTAAACGAACAGCGCGACGGAGCACAGGAGGGCAAGCACCACACGACCTGGCCGAACGGGATGGCGGCAACGAGGACCATGATCACGCACACGCACACCACGAGCAGCACCAGGCATCACATCTGCTTGCGCGCAGGGGAAGCCACTGGCGGCGGCAGCGGCGCGGCGGATGCCTGCCCGAGCCCGCCCAGCGCGGCTACGAGACCGCCAGGACCCCCGCCACGGGCAGCAGCCGACAGCAGCGGAAAGGGCAGTCATCCCCCGTGGGGGCCCGAAAGCGCCCACCGACGCACCGCCCCGCTGGGCGTCGGCGTCGGCGGCTACCCGCTCCGTCCAACAGAGCGCGGCGCTGCAAGAAAGGCTGCCCACGCCGCCGCGCCTGCATCCCGAGGCGCACGGCCTGCTCGCGCATCACCTCGAGGAGGGTGAAAGGCGGCGAAGTCGGAGTCGGCGGCCCGGGCGGCACTGCAGTCTCGCCCTAACTCACCCGTGCCCATGTTCTCGGACACTGCGCTCATGAAGACGGGTGGCACCAGATGTGCACAGCATACCGCACCAAGGCGGAGCAGGGTCGAAGTTCCGGCCGAAGCCCGACCTCACCGCCGTGCCCAGCTGCTCCACCGAGGGCACCGCCGCGGCCTCCACCACGCCAGACTCGACGTCGTCGCCCGCGTACCGCCGCAACGTGGCGGCAGCCCCCGGTCGAGGCCCCCGCTGCGCTGCCCTGAGATCGCTGGGGGTCGCCGTGCCGACGTCCAGGCCCTCGGCAGCCGCATGCATGGCAACCTTGCGACGCAGCGGATCGAGGTCGCTTGGCGTACGACCCGCCAGCAGGGCAGTTACCGCAGGCGCGCACGCCGCCAGCCGCACCCCCACCTCGCGTTCGCTTAGAAACGCCTCGATCTGCTCGTTCAGCTGCTTGACCTTCAACTGGGCCGCCGCCAGTTTCTTGACGAGCCTCTGGACGAGATTGTCAGCTGACGCGACAGACAACGCGCGCGCGCCGCTGCCGCCGCGCGGCCGCGCTACTTGGGCGAGTCCCACCAGCCACCTCCACCTGCAACGCGCCACCAGCAGTTCCAGCCGAGGGAACAATGCCGAGCTGGCTGGAGCCGCGGGGGGTTGTCCGCTATGGACGGCCTGAGACAACATGGCTACGGCCAGGGAGGGGGAGGGGGAGGAGGAGGAGGAGAGGGAGGGGGAGGAGGAGGAGGAGGACGAGGAGGAGGAGGAGGTGGACGAGGAGGAGGAGGAGGAAGAAGAAGAAGAAACTAGAAGAAGAAGAAGAAGAAAGAACGACCATGATGAGGGAGGAGGAGGAGGCGGAGGAGGAGGACGACGACGACGGCGGCGGCGGCAGCGGCAACGACGACGACGACGACGACGAGGAAGAGGAGGATGAGGAAGAGTACGACGACGGCGGCGGCGACGGGGGGCCGTGGAGGGGGGGAGGGGGGGGAGGGCCGTGGAGGGGAGGGGCGCGCCCCGCACACACTGTGGAGGGCGGCCCAGAGCACCGTGGGGCGCGGCCTCACCTCGACTGGGGGATGCGCCTGAGCCTCCATCCTGCGCACTCGCCCTGGGTCACATTCGGCCGCCGCGGCAGGGACACGTCTTTCTGGGTGCAGACCTCTACGAATCCGTGCCAAGCTCTCGCATCCCTCGCGCGTCGGCTCATCACACTCGCCGACCAATTGGTGAGGGTCGGTCGTGGAAATGCACCCACACCAACTAGCTTGCTTGGAGGGCGTGCGCTCCACCCGAACATGTAGCATACCCATCTTGTAGTACATACTTTCCCGAGCGGTGTGGCCAGAAAGCGCCCGCCACGACGCATGTACTATAAGATGCCTCGGTGCGCGCGTCGCCCCTGGGGGGGGGGCGGGGAGGGGGCGACGCACACACATAGTACTAGTATGTTGGGGTGACGCCGAAACATAGGTGCGCTGGCGTCACATCTGACTTCCTACCCCTCCCTCCCATCCCTTACCACCATGGCGTAGACCTCCGATCTATTCGCAGTGTCGGGAATGGACAGGCGCTGCAGCGGGAGCGAGCACGATTCAGGAGAGCTGGAGCACGGGAACGGGGCCAGAACCGAAAACGGGAATGAGGCCACCGCTGCAGCGGGAGCACGATTTGGAAGGACCGCAGCACTGGGACGAAGCCAGCGCTACAGCGACAGCGCTACGTGGAAGGACCGAACACGCCAGTGCTGCTAAGGGAACACGATTTGGAACAACTGGATGCTCGGGAACGAGGCCAGCGCTGCAGCGGGAGCACGATCCATTCATTCTTGAAGAACCAGAAGCGACCGGATTGAAAAAAACACAGAAGGAAAACACCAAACCATGAAATTCTGCGCACGAGAAAAGCACTACGCGGAGAGGACGGGACGCTCTCCGGGCAGAGTCAAGGGAGAGAGGAGAGGAGTTTGCTCACATTGTGCAGTTGCGGGGAGAGGGGAGGGGAAAAAAGGGAGGGAGGGAGGCAGCAGAGGTGAGGCGAGAGGCGCGACGAGCCCCTTGGGGGGGGGGGGGGGGGCGAAGGCGGAGCGCGGAGGGGAGCGGCAGAAGGGATGGCGAGGGGGAGGGGGGGGGGGGCAAGCGGGGCGGTGGAGAAAGGGCGAAGAGGGGGGCCAAAGAGGGGGAATCAGGGGGAGGGGGAGCGGCGATGCCCAGATCTCCGACGGCGAGGAGGGGAAGTTATCAGTACCCACCGCCCAGGGAACCTACGTCCTGGGACCCCAGGAGGGCGGCGGATGTGGGTAGATCTCTTGGCCCCAGGGTTTCCGAAGATGTCCGTACCCAAAGCCTGCCGAAGTCCCCGAAGACCGACCCTACAGGCGGTGGTTGTGTATAAATTCCCGCCTCGGATCCAACGTCCCTCCTCCTCCTCCTCCTCCTCCTCCTCCTCCTCCTCCTCCTCCTCCTCCTCCTCCTCCTCCTCTATCTCCTCCTCCTCGCGCCCCGAGGCCCAGGGCGCCAGCTTGAAGTCCAGCAGCACGAAGCCAAGGGAGGGGGGCAGCTCCCGCTCGCAGTCGCTGCAGGAGCAGCAGCCGTTGAGCAGCAGCAGGCCGAAGATCCGACAGCCCCCCGGGGCTGGGGGGCAGGAGGAAAACGGGGATGACAAGGGAGGAAGAGGAGGAGGAGGAGGATGAGGAGGAGGAAGAAGGAAGGAGGGAAAAGGAAGGAAGGAGGAAGAAAGGAGGAAGGAGGGAAGAGAGAGGGAGAAAGAGAGATGATAAATACATATGTATACATTAACAAAACGCAAAACGAACGCAAGCAACAAAAAAACTACAACATCAAAACAAACATAACACATAAACAACAATAACGCACAACGAAGTGTACATCTATGCATGTCTGTGTATATGAAAAAGTACCAGACAACACTGACGTTTCGCGCCATGCACCTTGGTCCTTGAAGTATGGTATGCAGGCGGAATGGCAGGAAAATCAAGCCGACAATTTAGCGATAACTCCTTCTTGCCTTTTCCGCCGTTATGAGAATGTGGTTCGTTGTATCATTCCTCCATGCTTATTTTTCCTCATTCTGGCCATACCCTGCGTATTCTCCCAATCCTCCTCAGCTCTTTTTGCGGAGGCTCCTCCTTGGAGAACCTTTGGGGGCCTCACCAAAGTTTTTCAAGCTTTATTAAGGACTTCTGGAGGGCTCCTGGGCGTCTTCCGGGGGCCTCCGGGGGCTTCCTCGGGCCACCCTGCCTCCAACCGCGGTCTCCCTGAACGACCAGGTCACGATTGGAATGCTTCGGAGGGCGTCTTGGGGCCATCTTGGCCTGTCATGGGGCTCTCGTAGGCCATCCTGTTGTGCTGTCTTGGGGCTCTCTTGGACTGCCTGGAAGCTCTTTCGAATGGTTATGGGGCGAGTTTCGAGCCTCCCAGGCGGCTTCGGACGCCCAGAAGACCGCCGTCTTGGAGCGTCGGGAGGCGAAAAAACGAGAACCCCAAAATTCATCAAAAACCAATAGGAAATCAATGAATTTTGCCTCTTGGGGCCTTCTTGGGAAAGCTCTTGGAGGCCTCTTGGGACGTTTGGGAGCGATCTTTGGGGGTATGACGGCTCCATTGGGGTCGTCGTGGACCGTCTTGGGGCTCTCTGGGGTCGTTTCGGGAACGCACCGGAACGCCTGGAGCCCTCTGGGGCCGTCTTCGGGCTCTCGTGGGGTTCTCCCTGGTCGTCTGGAAAGTTGCCCGAGAGGCCCTGGGTGGGCCAAATTCGTTGGGGGGGTGTTTTTGTCCGGGGTCCCTGGCCCTCTATATATATATATATATATATATATATGTATATATATACACACATATATATATATACACATATATACACACACATACATACACATATTCCCCGAACAGTGTTTGCACTCAGGGATTCTTATATCTGCTATGAAGAGCTGGGCCGTGTGGCCGGTCTGGCGGCTATGTTGTCGATGTCGCCGCCCCGTCGCCGCCTCGTCGCCGCCCATCTTCTGGGCCGAATGGCCAGTCTGGCGGCAAGATTGTCGCCAACGCCGCCCCGTCGACGCCTCGTCGCCGCCCGTCGTCTGGGCAGTGTGGCCGGTCTGGCGGCTATGTTGTCGCCGTCGCCGCCCCGTCGCCGCCTCGTGGCCGCCGCTGGTTTGCACCACGTTCCCCAAACAGTGTTTGCATTTAGGGGGTCGCACTTCTAGCGTAAAGAACTGAGCCTGTATGTCGGTCAAACGGTGCCGTGCCAGCCGTCGCCGCCCCGTCGCCGCCTCGTCACCGCCACTCGCGGTTTGTGTGCCGGTCTGGCGGTTCCATGCCGACCGTCGCCGCTCCGTTGCCGCGTCGTCGCCGCCTTGTCGCCGCCCGTCGCCGCCGTTGGATTGCACCACATAGCTTGCACGAAAACAAATTCGCACCTGCGGCGCCTTTGGATCGCTAGTACACAGATTGTATCACATATATTGATCTAGACTTTCGCACAACCGGCGTTATCCGTACCCCTTTTCGGGTATGTAAATCATGTATGATTCTGACCACATGTCCATCCTAAGTATGAATATACACTATCTCCGGGGTTCCCGTAACGACCCCCCTGAGGTTCCCTTGTAAAAAACGATACGCGGGGACACCTTTTGTTCTAACATGACACTTGTTCACGAATCCCTTGCCAAAAAAAACTGGGACGAATTGCACAGGCGCGCGCCGTCGCGCGCGCATGCCGAAATCCTCCAAAAACCTCCAGTGTCGCAAAAATGTTGCAATCGAGTTTCCAAATAAAAAAACATATAAAAAAAACACAGGGTTTCGCAACACTGATTGGCTAAACAAGCTTACGCGCGAGCTCTTGCGAAATCTTAAGAAAACCACAGGTTTTTCAAGATTTTCACAAAATGCTACCAAACGGGCTTCGCGCGTGCGCATGTCGAAATCTGTCGAACGCCCTTGCGCGTGTGCCGTCGCGAGAATCCTCTGCAAAAAACTGGGACGAAGTGCAGACGCGCGCGTCGTCGCGCGCGTATGCCGAAATCTTTCAAAACCCATCGGCTTCGGAAGGATTTCAACATCGTGTGTCCAAAAAAACCTACAAAAACACAAGGTTTCGCAACACGGATTTTCAACAAAAGCGTGCGCGCGCGCTCTTGCGTCGTCGTCGTCGTCGTCGCCGTCCTCCCTCCTCCCGCGTCGTCGTCGTCGCCTACGTCGTCCTCTGTCTTTCCTCGTGTTCGTCGTCGTCGTCCTCTTTAGCGTCGTGGTGGTTTCCGTCGTCGTTGTCGCCGTGGTCGTCCTTCCTCCTCCTCCCTGGTCGTCGTCGTCGTCCGTCGTCGGCGTCTCGTCGTCGTCCCTCCTATTTCGTCGCCGCCGTCGTCGTCGTCGTCGTTGTCGTCGTCGTCGTCGTCTTCCCTCCTCCCTCGTCGGTGTCGTCGTCGGCGTCGCCGTCCTTCCTCCTTCTTCGTCGTTCGCGTCGTCGCTGTCCTCCCTCCTCCCTCGTCGTTGTGGTCGTTGTCGTCGTTGTCGCCGTCGTCGTCCTCCATCCTCCCTCGTCGTCGTCTTCGTTGGCGACGTCGTCGTCGTCTTCGTCGTCGTCGGCGTCGGCGTCGTCGGCGTCGGCGTCGTCGTCGGCCTCGTCGTCGTCGTCGTCGGCGTCGTCGTCGTCGCCGCCGCCGTCGTCGTCGTCGTCGTCGTCGTCGTCGTCGGTGGCGTCGTCGTCGTCGTCGGCGTTGTCATCGTCGTCGCCGTCGTCAGCGTCGGCGTCGTCGTCGTCGTCGTCGAAGTCGTTGGAGACGTCGTCGGTGTCGTCGTAGTCGTTCACCCAGCACCCATCGCAATCGCTCCCGCATGGGTTTTGCAAACCAAGTCGCGGGTGGATGGGTGGGATGATGGCGCGAGCAATGGAGTTGACAACTTCAAGTTCGGCAAGTGAATTGCACCACTTAGATTGCAGCACCTCTATTGGACAACGTAGATAGCAGCACATGGATGCACATAGGTTACACAAGGTATACTGCACAACCATTTGAATTAAGATTGCACGACAGATTGCACCACGTAGGCTGCACAACCACAGCGATTGCACAGAATGTACTGCACTACATGAACGGTAACACATATAGTGCGTAGTATTTACGGTACCGTATAAATTGCACACAGACTTCCCTACATGGATTGCATCACCTAGATTGCACATGTGCGCGGTGTCCCGCCTGCAGCACAATTTTGATCGCACACAACACACATTGCATCCCATTCATTCTCCTTTCTAAGAAGACAATAGACTCTACCCCCTCCCCCCCCCCCGGACTTAACGCGTCCCCCTGGGATAATATGATTTCATACATATATATATATATACATATATATATACATATACATCTCTTGTTTTAAGAAAAAACTATATGCGGTGACATTTTGTTCTGACATAACACTTGTGCACGAATCCCTTGCAAAAAACGGGACGAAATGCACACGCGCGCGCCGTCGCGCGCATGCCGAAATCCTTCGAAAACCTTCGGTGCCGGGATTTCGCAATCGAGTTTCCAAAAAAAACATACAAAAACACATGGTTTCGCAACACTGATTTGCTAAAAAAGCTTCCGCGCGAGCTCTTGCGAAATC